CATACTGCAATTCAAATGACTGCAAATAAAATGAGTGCAAGTGACAGCAGCTGAAGAATGGACGACTGCGCAAGTTTTTCCTCCTGACTCTCAGAGTCAGCCCTTCTGTAAGTCCTTTCTTTTGCGTGGGGATCTTTGGCCAAATCTCGATACTGTTTCATATAGCCGTTCTCACAATGTTGTCAACCAGGTCGACATAGTCTGAAGTGCTTTGTTTCGAGAAGTTGCACTTCATTTGTTGGTCCAACCTTTCAATAGCAGTCTTGTTCTTCTTGGGTGGCAACATACTGTTCGGCGCAATCTTTGCATAGCGTTGAAATAGTGGTGCATGTCCTGACAAGAAGGTGATATCCGGCGCACTTTTCCATGAGAAAGTTGGAGCAGCTTGATCAAATTCCTGTCACCCTTCTCCTCCATGTACTTTGACAAGGGTTCCATCAAGTCTGTCACTCCTATGCTAGGATCAGCGGATCGGCGAAAGCGAGGTTGCTTCAATATGGCCATTTTGGCCACTGAAGGGTCAACAGCAAACACAACTCAGTAACCACGGTTCTTCACTGAATACTATTAACTGCAGAGTAAGATCTCCTTCAAAATGCATGCAACTGCATGTGCTTGAGTAAAGAGGCGCAGGACGTAGAGGAAAATCACATATGTGATTCGATGCTGTATATGCATTGAAGACTTGAAGAATGACATGGGTGAGTGTGAACTTCAGCCAGACTTGAACCACATAAGTTGTATACCCAATCTTAGCAGTGCAAACTATATAACAAAGAACAACACTGACTCTCAAGGTTCTCTCACAATGTCCTCTCTCAGGGTGTCTGCTCTCAGTAGGTCCTCTCTCAAGGTTCTCTCAATGTCCCTCACTCTCACAAGGTTCTCTCACAAGGTTGCTTTCGTTTCTCCCTCTCTCAAAACAATGACTGCAAGTTCTCTCCTGCGCAGGCTGCGTTTTGCACAAGTTCAAAAACGTCTCGAAACAATCGCCTAGTGAAAGAAAAGTATACGCTGTCAATCTCCAAGCACGAACTGTCACAACTTATGTGTGTGTCAAGGGTTGTTTAACATATGTGTCTCGCAATGCTCGTTTGGAACAAAAAACATGGCTGAGAGCATTCGAAATGTTGATCAAACTTCGAAGTACACCTTCGAAGTTTCAAGTAAAC